GTTTTTAAAAACGAAAAAAACTTATCATCATTTGCTCTTGTATTTTTGTAATTTGTCTTAGAATGAAAGATATGTTGACTACTGAATGACAAGTTTTACATACTTGCTCGCATCCCAATCACTAAAAATGAACGAGCTAAATATAAAATGAATATTTAATAGACTAGATGATTGCTACGAGGATTTTTAGTCAGAACCAGTAACTATGATAAGTTATGTTCGTTGATTGTCGCCAGAGATAACGTTGATTTTATTCTTGTTTTAGGTTAAAAATTGTATTAATTAACTGTATTTGTGAAATTATATATCACAACACGACACAGGTATTATAACATCTGCTAATAAAAATTACTTAATATTCAGCAATGTATAATTAATTCGATGCGAATAAGAATTTATAAAATATGACCAAAACATTGTGCGCTTTCGGACAAACAAACAAGGATGCAGAATCAGTGATCTCCGTCCTTCTCATGGCTTTGTATTGCCAAAGATGGCCTCTCGTTCTAATAATATTAGATTGAGTTGTCAACGTAATTTATCAAATTAAAACAGTTCATGTTGTTTTGATGCGAGCAGCTTATTCGGCATTAAGGATCGGTTTATTTGAATCTTTGTTTGTTGAGTTGGAGATACATATAAATTAAAACTCCTTTTTTACAAATATAACGCTTTTTTTAAAGATTTATTCGGGCCGCATTTTAAAGGTACATTGAAATCGCCGTGATCGCTAGAAACGACCATTATTTTTGAAATAGCTCAGCTGCCGCTAAATGCCCAAAGCGCCACCTGGTGGGGCCTCGTGGTGGCCAATTTTTCGCGACGTCAGAATCCTCAACACCGGCTGGGATTTCTCTTAGTTCTTCGGGAACGCGAGAACGAGGTGTACGTTCATCGAATCAGCATCATACAATCAAAATGCCCCGCGAACGTTCTTTCATCATGATCAAGCCTGACGGCGTCCAAAGAGGACTCGTGGGCGAAATCATTTCCAGGTGAGTTTGCTGGGAAAAAGACTTGTGTCTAGCCGCGATTTTGAAAGCTTGTCGCATCAGTGCACAACCAGTGCCATAGGAACGCTATCACTAGGTAAGCAGTTAGCACAGAAGGTTATATACAATATTTTGCAGATCAAAATTGTCAAGTGGAACGGTTAGTGCAACAAATTTCTTTCATTAATTAAAAAAGAAGTCGTGAGCTATTGTGGAAAATAAATGGATATGGAAGACTGAACTTTCAATATGTTAGTATTTCTAGCCATAGAATCCCTTGTAAAAGATCAATATCGATAAAACATTGTTTGAGATTTGTGACAGTCGTCGAGTTTGTATCCTCTTGTAGCCGTCAGGCACATCAATCGGTCGTTAATCATTTTCAGTCGGTCTCCTCTGATTGACCTTCATTCCTTCTTTGATTGAGTTTCATTTTGATCGCTTGGCTTGGTTGCTTACGTAGTGTTACTGGCTCGCCGGTTGCGGCATTGATAGTCCGTTCAATGTACATTTTGTAGTTTTTGTGCGAGAAAAACTACAATTTTACAGTGTAAAATAGTAATTTAACCGTTGAATTACTATTTTACATTCGCAAACGGACACATCACTTGATTATACCGAATCTTTTTGTGCAGGCCCGTGTTTAGTCAGCAAATTGACTGACTGACTGAGATACCAAGCACGCTCTGTGTTATGTACACTTGGGGGTTTTATATATGAGCATTGTTAAATAATTTGTTCGCACTCATTCGTCGTATACGGTGTTTCAACTAATTGCTCGTATTTCTTTGACGCATATGGATGATAAAAGTCGAGTGAATCTGCTGTAGCACAGTAGACTTTAAGTCACTTGTCGCGCTTTCCTGGAAAATTCTGAACACATATGTTACACTTTAACGCTACCCATGCTTAGTCTATTGGTTGGTCAGTACTCACGCTTAGTCTATTGGTTGGTCAATTGTACAGTCGGACGCCTGCATGCCACAGTGGCACTTAAATTGACTGAAACATGTACAAATGTGAGATCATGAACATTATACTTTAAAGTAGTCACTACATAGGAATATAGGGAAATGTTAATGAGCCATTGCTGAATCGAGATATATGGGCGTGACTGCTGAAGTACAAGTAAGACTTGTTGCGAAGAGCTGTATTAAAGGAAACACATGTAGCCATACATATGATAACTGCATGAGTATATTAGTTTTTTCTAAATGATGATAATGACAACATTATAAGCCAGGGGTGGCGCACAACTGAGTGGCTTTCCATGTCAATGCCATCCGGTGGTATCGCATATTGTTAATGCTTAGCAGAACCATATAATTGTAATAGTACGTACACAATTAAATAGTTATATTATGTAGAATAGATTTCTAAATTGTTGCAAAAGATTCGAGTGACTGTGCTATTTATAAAAATGGAAATGGTAGTGAATCAAACTGCATTTTATTTGTGGATTTTGCAGGTTCGAGAAAAGGGGCTACAAGCTGGTAGCGATGAAGTTCATGCAGGCTTCAAAAGAACACTTGGAGAAGCACTACGCCGACCTTGTCGGAAGGCCGTTCTTCAATGGCCTTGTCCAGTACATGTCCTCTGGGCCAGTTGTTCCCATGGTTTGGGAGGGCGACGATATTGTCGATACTGGCAGAGCCATCATTGGTGCGACAAACCCACTTCAGTCTGCACCCGGTACCATTCGAGCTGATTACTGCATTAAGGTTACTATTAATACTATTACTATTATTATCCACATGGTGTGCCCAATCATTACAGAGGAACTTTATGACAGCAGAAGTAGGAATTGGACCCAAAGCAGATCCAGTCGGGTAAATTTATGTAGACTGTAGCGAAATCTTATGCGCACAGCGATGAATTCCACGTAGTTGATTCAGATAGACAGATATTTGCTTATCCTAAATTGCAGGTAGTGAATGTCGGTATTGTTGTTGGAAAACGTTTGATTTTTTATTGTTTATTGTGTGATATTGTATATCCTGTCATATATTTGTTATCCACTCGTATGTTTACTTCGTCTATTTGAAATACGGGTCTTGTGGGACTTTTGTTTGGAAATTGTGTCGCGACAAAATGTGGCCGATGCTGCTTATGGTGTTAGTGAACGTGTTTATTTCGGCGCGACGAGCAACAGATGGTGTCTGTAACAACATCGTGGAAAATTGTTAAGTTGACCTCAGCTTAAGAAGTACTTTTTAGCTTCAGACGTGATCTGAAAATAGATTTTAGCTTTTTTAGAAGCCAACGTTTATTTTTCCGATAGGAGAGGTCACACACATCCTGATCTGCCAAAACTCGCAGTACCGATGCTTAGTGAAATTGCTAGTAATATGTGAATGATATATATCCTTTAGATGTATTTTTGTGATAATTGTGGACTAACAGAATATAGCGTAAGTATTTTTGTGATAGATGTCGACTAACAGCATATAACGTATCTCATTCGCCAGGTTGGCCGTAACGTGATTCACGGTTCAGACTCTGTTCCATCGGCTGAAAAGGAAATTGCCCTCTGGTTTAAACCCGAAGAGATCGCCGATTACCAGAACTGCACCGAGAGTTGGATCTATGAATGATCTGCAGATGCCAGTGGTCAATAGTGGATATATTTAAATAATACACTCGCCTTGATCGAAAAAGTTCACTTCTCTGAAAATGAGAACTGACGAATTCAACTACTAAATAATAAATGACTTATTCTATCGGATGCACTATCTTCTTCGGGACCAACTTTAAATCTTTTCATTTATATAGCATTTTTTATTGACTCTACATGTTAAAGCAGTATTCATAAGCTGTTGCTGCTATGAGTTAGACATGGAAACACCCTTCTTCGTTTTGAAATCAGTTACTATCCAGCCTTATTGAGTGTTTGATATACGTTGATACGGATTCTCTCTGAAACGGCTGTGACAGTTTTTGGGAGTTTTTGTGTAGTAGTCTGACGAGGAATTCCTATAAAAACAACACAATATCGGTGCCTTGCTAAAAAAAACTACTCTGTATTATATTTTGCTTATAAAGAAGTCCATAGGCATGATATGTTATGCCCGTGAACTGTCAGAGAAACCAAAAAGAAAACTGGAAAGTTTTCGACGTTTTCTTTTTGGAAATTGGAACAATGGAAATTGTTTTTGGGTCACCCTTGAAGAAATTTTAAACGATCGGATTTTTATTTGCGCTATGGCCGTTGTGTGACTATGGCCCGCTACTATTTTGTTAAGAGAACGGTCGAAAATGCCAAGTGTTTCCACATTAGTTGTTTAGCCTTTCGATTTTGGAAGTGAAGATCAGCCTTTAGTTGAAATAACCGAAGAGGCACAGTAGTTTGCGAACTCATTGCCAACTGACTGAAATTGAGTAATGAAATTGCTGCAACAAGCTAATAGAATTTTTGCTCTATAACAATGCCGTTGCTTATTCAACTGAGCTAATGGGAGAACCGCATTGTTATAATTGTAATGAAAGTGAGGATAGAGGCAATATATCCGTAGAATAATAGAAAAAAACTATCAACTTAAAGAGACAAAATTAGTTCACTTTGAAAGCGAGAGAGACACTGTGCGCACGGGTATTGTTGGACGCTTGCAAAATAAGGACAAATGATGTACAGCCTTCAGCTTACGAACCCATCTATAATATAGTTGCACCGATGTACCGTTCAAAACGGGCTGAATAGCAATATTTTAAAGGAAGGAGTCTGTTCTTGTAAATATCAACAAACATTTAGTGACACCTTCTTCGGCGTCGTTATGAGTTTTGCCATACATTCTAAGGCATATTTTTTTATTTGCACATTATTGTCGTATTTGATTTACTTTTCGTCACCCATTATCAACTGTGCAAAAAAATGGCCCGACTCTATTGCGTTTTTCTGGTTCCGCAAGTGGGTTTATGATTGAAAATTTTTTTGCGTCACTTCGTGTGGCACCGTAACATTGAGTTTTTTTCTAGAAGCCAGCTTTCTTAATATTAGTTTAGATGTTTAGTTCTCTGTATGTTATCGTAGCCAGAAAAATGATTAATACTTTTTTTACAGCCTAATATATATAATATGAAGAATGGTTTGAGACTCAGATTACAAAGTTACCTTTTTACTCTAAATTACTGTCAGGTAAATCACTGATGACAAAGTAAAACATTTATTTGAAGGTCTACCGTATTTCAGCATTATGTCCGATACTATCGTTAAATACTGCGTCAAATGGCTAGCTTTCAGCACAAAGTGAGGTCCTCGGGCCACATGCAAACCAAAAATTGCCATTACTCCTCACGATTTTACTATGGTGTAAAAAACTGGTCTTGCTGCTAAAGACCTGAAAGCGATATTAACCAGACTAGTAATAAATCACACCGCAATTATGCTACAAGCAACCCGAGATCCGATACCCGAAACTCAACAAACGTCAGTGAAAGGTAACTACATAGTTGGATACTAAAATTTTTATACAACCCTACGGATGGACACGTATCAAAAAATTTATTTGCAAAATACAAAGCTGTACTAAGATACGAAGAGGTCGGTTTGAAGAAGACAAGGTTGCTTTGTCGAAAAACCCCACCAGTTGCCTATTAACAACTACACTTTACGTCTATAGCTCACATTTCGAGCCTAAGCAAGTCTTGCCAGCTCCGTGACGTATTCAAAGTTTGGTTGCAGTTTGTCGATCAGTTCCGGACGTAAATTTTTTTAAGACAACCTGCAAAAATGATCCGAATTTTATACTTGCTGGACATCATATCATCTTTCCTGAACGACGCAGGTGATGGCAATAACGGAGAAGTGTGTGAAGTGCTTAATTTATATCCGTAAGTGAGTGAAATTATAATGCGAATATATAAAACAAGTAGCCTTAGGAAACAGAGGATGCACTTGAAATTATTAATTCATATGAAAGATATAAATAAGCCAGGTTTACAAAATGGTTTTTCAAGTGCTTGTACGTGAAGTAGACATCCAGTCTTAAACTGAACTAGAAGAAAATAGAAAGTACGGTAAACCTTTTATGGCCCTGTGAAGGTGACCGTGATTAACATTCAGAAATCAACTTACTGAATGAATCTGTTTTACTGCGCTAAAGACGGCGAGTTTTTTTAACAGGATGGAGCAGCTGCACGTTAACATCGTAATTGAGTGTTCTTCGTGTTTTATGTGCGGTAGCTTTTAGGTATTACCTTCAGATGGCTGGTTCATAGCGCGAAATCAAATCTACACGCAGATTCAAACAGATTACCGCGTGTTCGTATATTCAGCTGGCAAACACGTTACCCACTGCGCTATGATAGCAACGATTATTACTGTGACCTAAGAGCATATGTTAACTAGAGTCTTCTGACTAGAGAGGAAAATGGATTGGATGAAGAGGTTTGATAGGATACCTTGTTCGCTCTCCAGACCCGACGCCAGTGGATTTTCTTTTGCGAGTATACCTTAATAACAAAGTTTATATCAAAAAACTGGAAGACTGAAGGATTTGGAAGCTTGTTAAAATGTGTGGATTTTTCATTTTTTAAGGTTATAATTATTGAGAGTTAGTCATCAAATAGCTAGTAGCAGAATTTGACTGCTTAGGATACCTAGGATATAGATGCGGAAAGCACCATCGTAGTAAACGCTATGCTGTTAGAAACATAGGATCTTTAAAACTGTTAAATGAAAGAAGCAGGTTGACTAAAGGACGGATAACGAAATATCCAGATAAAATAATAGCAACTGAAAATAAACCGACCATTGAAATGAATGCATGACCTTACGAAAAAATATACATTTTCTCTAGTATTCTAGTAAATTGTGTCCAAGCAAAGACCTCTTTTCGACTTTAAAAGAGATTTTGGCCCAGTTTCTTATCATGTCCTCGTAAGGCCAAAATGCGAGCGAGCTGAAGGGTGACTGCTTATTAAGTGGTTCTATTTATTAAGTAGCTTACTATGTAGCACGGAAAATAGTCCGATCAGGTCAGAACAGGTCTGAACGAAGTTTAAGAAAACAATCGCTATCTTTTATCAATGTAAGTAAATTTTTTTTACTAACTAAAGTGATGAAAAATATTTTCCTACATTAGACTTTACCGAAGCCGATTAACAAATAGAGGTGCAATCTTGAATTCTCTTGAGTTTAAAAGACTGTTAACAGTCTGCAAAACAAGAAAAAAGTCTATATCTGTACAAACGACTCCCATTGGACATCAATCCCATTGGGAAGTAATCCATTTTGGGTCTAATAAAAGCATTAGTCGATATGGATGACCTGATACTGGTCCGATTATCAGAAAAACTGGGTCCGTAATGACCCCAGTTTGAAAGAATATAAGATTTTGAATTGAAAATAAAAATACACTAAATATACGTTCATTCACGAACGATTCGACAATTTTCTAGCTGTAAAATACCAGGCGAAAATTCAACCACAGCCACTTGACCATATGACGGAATACTGACTTTGTAAAAATAGAAGGAAAAATGTCCTCAATTCCTGTAGACGTCTACTCCAAGTGGCCCGAGGTCTAACTTGTCGAAGTATGACATTAACAGCTATACGGTCGCTATGGAAATATTGTCACGTTGTGGTAATTTCACAACGCTGGTAAGCGACAATGGGTCAAATTTACAGTTCAAACATTTAACGATTTTAAGAAATCGATTTGAATAACATCTTTGAATCTCTCCGTACCACCCTCAATTTGATAGACTGGCAGAGAAATTTGTCGATTCATTTAAAAGGAATCATAAAAAGCTGGGGCGAACGAAAGATCAAAATGAGGTCTGCGATTTTTTTCCCCATCTTCACTAGCGGGGGTCTACCTGAGCCATCATTGGATGACTAAATTGAAAACGATTTCTTGATGTCCAGGAAGGAGCAAGTAACATCAGGCTTAACTCAAGAATATCGTTAAAAAATCACACTGATCAAAGCATATGAGTGATAGAATTTCGAGATCAAAGGCATCATAATCAGGTACTAATTAGGAAAAATTGGGAACGGTTGTGTATACCGCGAAGGTAGGCGGACGGATCTGGATCCGTCATTCTAACCAACTGAAACGGAGAGATACACCTTTTTCAAATGTTACGTTTAGAAAACTACTGCCTACGAAAAAGCTGCACGATTTGACTCGGAAAGACCAGCACACCATTCTTGATGACCAGAACACAACGAATACGAAAAGTACCGATAACGTTAATTTATAATGGACGTGAAAAAAGTAATCGAACATTTAAAAATGTTTTCAAAGAAGGTAATGTGGAATATGGAGTTGTGTATATATATATTTATCTAACCATGTCTATCCAATTATGAAGTTTTCGTGTTCCCCTAAACGACCTTCTAGGGATCAGATACGTCAAGAGTTAATACCCGAACTGGTTTTTATTAGCGAAGTTATTATAATTGATAAGTTAGGGCTAATTTGGTTGACCGTGAGCTGCTCAAGTTTTAACGTCCCCAATGCAATGTAACACAGTGGAAATACAAGCGGGAGGGACACACATTTCAACCCTGACAGGTTCCTGACGCAACGTTCGAGTAACGGCGTACAAGGTGATTTAAAGTGGATTCTATAGTTTCAGGTTCAGATTTTCAGGTGTGTTTTTCAAGCATCGATTTTTCTTCCACAAATCGGGCAGAGCATTTTTTTCTAGATTAATCCTACCACCTTTTCTGTAAATTTAAAGCATTCAATTAATATATATTTAATAAAATTGTTTTTAGTTATATTTTACAAATTAAAGTCTGAGTCCTGATTATAACTAAAATGTATTAACAACAAAAAGCGTTTAGCAGTAGAAAATTCTGAGATTTAAAATAAGCGTAACTACCCAGTCCGCCAAAACCAATACGGGATTTTACCGAATTTTGAATACAGTCGGTTTATTCTCGTAATAATTGCAAGGGCCTCTAAAATTAGCTATTAATAGAATAGGATCGGAAAAAAGGCTACTTTCCTGTTGCGGAATTTTACAGTTGGAGTTTCTTTAACTTCTAATTCGCCATAACGATACGACCTATTTTTTGAAAGGAAAGATGTGTTCGTACAGTTTTTTAGCTCTTTTATTAATTCTGCTACAGATGTTTACTAAACTAACCTCTTCATGCATAATCTTAGAAGATATAAAGAATTATAATTTTACCGTTTTTAACAGTAGCCAGTCAGTCAGTCAATCAATAATATATCAAAATGTTATGTTTTTGATTGATGGCCATATTTTTTCTTAGTTATAGGAGAAACGGCAAAGACGTAGGTTCTTATTAGAGAATAAACATTTCCGTAATAGCAAAAGGTATTGTGTAAACGCCTTACTTTAACAATGCAAAGCTATATTAGCCCACAGCGGCTGTTTAAAATGAACAGACGTATCCTTAGAGTGCATTACTGGCCACTAAGTCGTAGTAAAAGATGTGCTTTGTAATACCAGTTTTTAAAGGCCCCTTAAAAGCTTTGCAATTAAGATTCTATGTACCTTCTATAATCCGTTCAGATTCATTCAATCATATGATGGTATGTCCGGTCCAGTTTCTGATTAGGAGCGAACTAATTTTTCTTATTTGTTGCCTATCTTAATAACCACTGTTTATTTGTTGAAACACTTCTCTTTTATTTCCTACATTGCAAATGTCAAGTTTAGTGCACAACCTTCATTTGTCTTAGTCTTGAGTTCCTTTTGAATGTATGTATGCAGCACTAAGGGCAGTGAAATCGTACTTTTAAAAGCGGCCGCTCCTGCCTAACTATCTTACCTATGTACGAAAATTTCCCTTACATATCATAGGAGAACATAAATTATGTGTTGTATATAAAATTTTTATTAATTTAGCCGTTTATAACCATTTTATACATAATCCCACCATACGGTGGTTTAGAGGCATGAGAAGTGCTGTCTTATGCGTTTAACTTTTTTCACATGATCTGTCCATCAGCAGTATCTATAAACACTGAGTTATTTTAAATAAATACAGGAATATAGGGCTGGATCTGTGCGCGTGTGCTGGTAAGTGTTGCCACTTGTTGAAATGGAGAAATTTGTGGAATCTGGGCACGAAAACGGTGCGGCTGTATTTTTACCGCTGGAAATGATGGCACTTTGCCAGAAACGGTAAGCTGAGGGCTGGAAGCTGAAGGCGCACTGTCCTGCAAAGGAACTACAGGTACCGGAACCAACCCGTTAACGGAGTAGCTATGGACACCACTGTACGCGGCCATATGCTGCGTTGGCAGAGGTACAAAAAAAACAGCTGCGAGAAGGTCCTGAGATCGAGGTGGCGTCACCTGTGATAAAACACAAGTCGCATTGGTACATTGAAGATCATTGGTGAATGAAGATTCAGTTCAGCCAATTTACGATTAGACATAGACGAGCGTCTAGTAACTTTGCTGTAAATTGTGCTGAGCGTAACTGTTTTCCGATATACCATAAATTAAGCCCTATTTAAGTAAGATAATACTCCCTACATCATGAAAATATAAATAACGCGTGACAATATATGCAGGTTTACTTTACCTGGAGTGGCAAATGCTGAGATACTATCGAATATTGAGCCATCATTCCATTATCGCTGGCATTAATGATCGGCTCAACGAGCAGCGGCATTGCTGGATCCGAGGATCCAGACGGCAATGAAACGGGCGCGGTCTGCGAAGTAGATTCTACCTCCTTGACATCTGAATCTTCATCTTTCTGATGATTCGATAGTGCTTCATCAATACGACGAACCGCAATCTTCTTCTCAACAGTCTTTGCAGGAGCTTCGGTCGCGACTGGAGCCGACGATGTCGCCCCGAGGGAAGCAGCCGACACGGCAACCGGTTGTGCCTAAACACATACATTACGCATACATTAGTCTACTAATCTATAAATATACGTTAGATAAAACATTTTGGTGCGTTGTGATGCGGGGAAGAATGATCTGCCTTGTAAAGACCTTTATTTTAAGTGTATCGCATATACAATATAATGTCAATAATATAGTGCGAATATATTATGACAAATATGTGTGTTTTATTATGTACCCGAATATCTAAGCCCATTAACCACTTAAAATATTCTCTTATTTATTTTTTTTTTGTAATATGGATTCACCTTTCAACTTGCCCGTATGATATACAGTCTACAAATTGATTTTACCTGGGCCACGAGTACTGTGTGATGTCCAGGAGTAACCTGATGTGGATCCTGATCCTTGACTTCAACGGATGCTCGGAATCCATTCTCATCGGCAATGTAGTTAACTACTCGCTGAGTGCCGTCGGCTTCTGTGACACCATACGCGCCGAGCTTCATTCCGGGACTGCCCGATTCCTCATGGAATGATGAAGCACCCTCGTTGATAGCGTATCCGAACGCATAGTTGCCCTTATTCTGCAAGCACGCACACATTCGCAAGATTATAACAGCTCCGATGGTACCTTCTACATCATGAGCCTAGTCCTCAGAAATATTAGCTGTTGTAGATGCACTTTTTATCGCCCTCTTATGCAGACGTAGCACCTTTAGAAAAATGCTATGGTTAAGTTGTCCATAAGAATATAATATAAGAAAATATATATTTAGCTTAGTCTCTTGTATGGTATATCTGTAAATATTAACTTAGTATATCCTTGTCTAGACAACTAAATAATGCTACTCACATCTTCTGTTCTATAACTTCTGTTTTGCTTTTGCGGCATAGCGCTGGTTAGGTGACATGTCGCTATAACAACAAGCGCGGAGATCTGCATTAGACTTTTCATTTTTGTGATGTTGTGCAGGGTTTACGACTGTACTGCGTACGTCAGGTTCTTTCCTCAGTCAGAATTTCACTGAGCTTCACCTGACTGACTGAGCTTTTTTATACAGAGATGGGTAGTGTAGCGGTAAGGAACGAGATCTACATGATTTGACCAAAGCTTGGACTTACTTCAAAAAGTGGCTATACGTACCATATAATGCTAGCATTTGTGATTGTAAAGAATTACGTCGTTCATTGGCGAGTCAAAACAAAAAAGAAGAATCGCACGCAAATCAATAACACCTTCTAATTCGAGTTCCCTATCGTTTTCGTACTTCAAGAGAGTTTGAATGTTGGGCAGATTACTGCGGCAGTTTCCTGTTTACAACCCGGCAATCTGGTACAAGAGTTGATCTCTCCACCAGAAGACAAGTGGCACCTTTGGGAGTTCTCGCAGCTACGAATCGATAAAAAACATATAAACCTGAGATGAGTAGAAAGAAGATAAATGCTGACGAAAAGACCGGAAGTAACATTACAAGTTGAAAGTCCGATTCGGAGCTGGCTCCGTAGAACCGGCTACTGAGCAGGTTAAACCATCGGTTTCCAAATTTTTTAATAAGATGTATTAGAGTTGTGCTGGTAATGATCCATCTTTAGCAACTGATGATTCTGAATGGTTTATGACGCATATTGCTAAAAAGCATAACCGCAATAGGATTTTTTTTTATTTTAGAAAACGGCTTAATCGTTTAAGCTAGAAAGACGGTCAAGTGTAGTAGCCATACGTCCTCGTAAAAGTTGATACAAGCGCATAATATTAATGATGCGTTTGTTAAATAGCGATATACATTCATGTGGGTTGATTTTCAGGTTTCTTAAAACTTATTGATCCTTGACGCGTAGACCGGAAATACGGCATAACGGTCGTCTCCTTAGCCCCCTTTTAATATCGAGTGGTCCCTCCCTGTCTGGTCATTGACCTATGCTATTTCTGGTTGATGCTTATCTAACTTTTGGCTATCGCATCAGACTTGCGTAACATTCTTTACTATGATCAGCTCTGTGCATTTACGGATTTGACATCACTAACATCACGGTAATCCTGTTACAAAGTATCTTATCTTGTTAGTTAGCTTACAAAAAGTCGACGGTGAAATACACACACACACACTTAGACTATACAGATATGAAGATGATTTTAAATCGTACAGGCTCGACGCGATGTTTTCGGTGCTGGGTTGCCGACAAACAAATGAGTAAGAAGATGGGCAAAAAAAGACGGAGACAGACAGACAGACAGGCAAACAACTCTCGGGCTAAACGGGTCTACCGCTTCATCCGAAGACAGATAGGCATCAGGGGCTACGTCAGCCATCTGCGCCAGTAGCACGCAATGCCTAGCACTTTTACATGACTACATACACAGTACTAAAAGATAAAGAACAGTAATATTGTGCTATTGATTGTACCCTAGATAGGCAATCAGGTTGCCGAGATATGACAAATAGGTAAAAACAAATAGTATATTATATAACTAAACTATATATCTGTTGCACTACTATGTTACCAAATGTCCAGTATTAGCCTTCAAAGAATTTGCTACACCCGAAAAGAGATACTCAGCGTATCCCTTAATCTGTTGTGTTCTCCGTGTCTGTCTTTCTCCACATGGAAACAAAATCGACTCCTGTCCTTTGTATGCAGCTGAAAATAAACAGCCGCAGTAATACAATGTAATCATTAGTAGCCTATTCATTAATTAATGGACCTATCATTCACTGGAACAAGTATACACGTTATTCTATTACAAACACCAACAATCCCGGTTTAAGCGGCCGTATGTATGCATTACTTTTTTGGCTTACTTTTACTTTAATATATAATTGAGTTCCTTTCGAATAGGATACATAATATCTTCGCGCAGAAATCACGCTCACTCTGTTCACGTGTTACCGAAATTTTTCGACTGACTATACTAGATGAAAATATTCAACGATGAAGTGTGTGTTTATCATTAAAGTTTGATGAAAAGGAACTCAGCAACGGCAACTAATATGAATGAAACTAATAAATAATAAGTCTCTATGGTTAAGGGGCTTTATTTAAATAATAGAAATAATAACATTAGAAAATGTTATTTTAACTGTACATCACTGTGTTTTACTAAATCAGAGCCAGCCATGCTAAGTGCGAGATACAGATCGCTAACGGGTTGGTAATGATCTAAACAATATGACCAGTTAAATGCGTTTTTGTCAGTGTCATTCGGCCACAACCTTCCCTTAGCAACAGAAAGCAGACCGATACAGACATCCCAGAAAACTGCATGACCAGGCAACCGGTTCTTGCTGAAGACCCCCGAAGAGTTCTTGCGAAGATTTTTGTCGAAAAACGATTATATTATACCGAAATGGCTTTCGATTTTGGTCCGTCTAACCGCCAGCAATTGACACGTCACAAACTAAGACGTAGGACTTGTCGCTTGATTCAATGAAAGATTCGTTCGAATTCTACACGAAATTGAGGCAAGAAATATGGTTGCTTAAACAGCTATCCAAGAGCTTGTGCTGTCGACCGTTTTTAGGAGTGCGTCCGGTATTGCGAGAGAAAATTAAAACAGCTATTGATAGCTAATCTGAAAAATTGTAATTAGTGCTACAAGTGAAGGATAAGTAAGATAAAATTGTTGAAGTGGATTTTCATAGCATGAATAGACAGGGGGGGCCTTGTCAAAACACAGCAGGAAAAGGCTCCAGGTACAGGTTCCGGATAAAGCTTCACCCAGGGAGGTACCTTATGTCTCTCTATTCGTTCCTGTTATGATGTGCTAGCACACTTCCGCTTAACCTCGATATTTTCTATTCCTTTTTCCAATAACCTACTTAAAAACATCGAACATCATTATACCAATATAAGGTGTGGGTGGCTCCAGTGCAAACTGTTATTAATTTCTAGCAATTAAATATCAAAATATATATTGACAATAATGAACGTTTAACTGAATATATAGAAAAAAGTGAATATAAACTGATTGAATATGGTCGAATTTTCCACATTGGCTATATGTGAAATATAGAAAAGCGCAAATATGTGTAATAATGGTAAAACTTTGTTATGTTTGAAACAGAGCCCGAAAGTACAGTAAAATAGAAGTAAATATTAGTATTATCAATTCAAGATTCAATATTGTTATCGTGCTAGGGACGCGCGTATTGCTAGGGCGAAGGACGTGCACACACACGTACCGGGTGTATTATTTTCAATTTCGACAGTTATCACTCGTATTTCTTGGTCAAGCACGGCGGTGGCGACACCAACAGCATTGACAGTTAATACTGTCTCACACTCATGGCTTGTGGATATCTGCACGTATCGGCGTGTCTATGTGTACTCTCACTTAGGTATGCAATGTAAAATCGTAGTAAAAGGTACACATCGTTCTGATTTTATATAGTAGATATTATGCTAGATTTGTAACGTGGTTAACATGCAAGAACGCTTGAATTCTCAGAATTATTACTTAATCCATATCGATATAGAGTCTCGTGGCAGTTGGGGACCCCACGTTTTAGATCTATTTACGAAGCAAAAGAAACAAAGACTGTCTCCACAAACGGAAGATTCAACTGTGCAGCCCAACGAGGAAACATTAATACTATTTTTATATGCCTATTTTACCATATTTGAAATACTATTAGAGAGTTAGGGTTTCTATCTAACGCAATAATGTCTATCTCAGGAACTTTAATGGTTTTATTGGTAAAATCAGAATACCTTATGTATTCTTAAAGCGTAATATTATAAGAATAGAAATATGGTATTATAGTGTTTCTGTTATAGATGTGTCACGTAGTTAAGCTTGCTTCTTTATTTGTAATCGCTTGCCTGTATCCTGCTACTCTAATTTGATGTGAAATGAAGACTCCTCAACGGTGATAAGACTTTTGCCTCACCCAGTAAGAAAAAGTGATATTGCATATTTATTCGCAGCACTAATGACAAAATTAATTTGAGGGAGTCACTAGACTATTATTATGAACATCGAGTTTCGCTGACCTAAATGTCCCCTGAAATACAAAACGATCTGACACAGCATGGTGCTATCGCCGCTTGAATTCAGCTTATAACAGGACCTTTAATAACAACAGCAGTAGTCAGTCAAGCGTTTAAACGAACTCGATGGAGTCTAAGACACCTTCTGCGGCCGTGGCGTTCCGTAATTTTCTTGGTTTTGCTGGCAGATATAAATGAGATAGAGAAAGGGTAGCGATTTTTTTACAGTAGGTTCCAAACAAAATGCTAATGCATCTGCGTGTATGTATGACACCCCGCCATTTCACGACGCGGCTACGTAGAAACGGAAGGTGAAATCTCCAACAGCGGAGCGATGGCGGCAGTTCGCACAAAAGCTCATTATGGAGTCGGATGACGGAGGTCGGCGTAGTTTCGTGTCGTAGCTACCTAAAAATTGTTGAAAATTACTACAGAATAGTTTCTTAATTTAATAGTGAGTAGGGCGTGACGTCCCTTACGAAGCTCGATAGAAACTACCGTAAAAGCGAAAAAAAAAACTGCAATAAATACGTTCTAAATAGGCTGACCTTGAAAACAAACATGACGATATCTTGGCTCGCTTCTATATTCCTTTTGATTGGAAGTAGTGAATGCTCAGGTAGGTTTCTTGAATATTCGCTAACTTTACTGCTTTATTATCACATGGGCCACACTTGATCGATTTTCCTCGTTCAAAAGGTGATCTGTATTTTATGTCCTGACTGAACAAATTGAGTATGGGCAATTCGCCACTTATGTCGATCATAACTTACGAAACTGATTCTTTCACTTTTCGTTCGGAAGTTACTTAGAAAAATTTTTATGTGGTACTACTTTCGCATCCTACAGAAGACCAGCAATACTTTTTTTCACAGCCACATTTCCATTAATGATATTAACGCTAGTGTTAAATAATAATACTAATAATAAGTCTGTGTATTAGCAGGGAGCTTATTCTACTAATAGTTACTACGTAATATCGTGCTTTTGTAGGAATATATACATAAATATGGCTATTGCGCAAGACTGGAGTGATTTATAAAAATATAAGTTACGTTCTAGATTAGAATTCATTTTGTTCAATTCGAAATCGAGGAATGATTCAATTTTTGGAAATAAGACGTTGAAGTGACAGCACTGATTTATGGGTATTCTAGGATATGCTAATCTACGTATAAAATGTGCGCCTACATTTCAGTGAAACGTGCCCTTACTAAGCTACCTATTTAAGAATTCCAACGATTCTTTGCTCTGAGCCCTTGAGCTGTCGAAAGTTAGCCATATTTTTTCTTTTTATTCTACCCTAAATTGATTGTAATGATAGATTTTTTGCATCAATTCACGATTTTGGTCCTTTAGCTTGCTGGTAACATGGCGACGCCCTACACTAAAATCAGGTCAAATGAGACTGCTTTTATGCTATGTTTTACCTGGATTTAAAGCAGCATTGTAAGTATCGTAAAAGTAGCAGTTGCGCATTGGAAGTTCATTAATTGCCGACCCAGTGTCTACAATATGTAGGTGTGTATACTGTATATGTGTTATCAATTTCATAGGAAAATATATCGACAAGTTCCGTCAAGGTTGCCACATCATCGATCAACTATCCAATATTAGAATAGAAAGGATTGCTGTTAGCGCGCATTAGTACGCAACCGTGCCAATGCTTCCGTGTGCTGCTGCCGTGCAACTTGTAAAATGATTTCCTTACGCATACTGTATGATCTATACGTATATTTATGAATAATGACAAACCTGTAATACGCACACGAAAAAGTTAGTGCTATTTACTAAATAAGAATTCGGATGCAGGTTAAGTTGGGTGCTTGCCTAAGATGTCACATCAAAGATCCTAGGGTCATTATGACCAAACTGCATGCAAGCCGTATTGAAAAATTAGCGTAAATAATATTACGTTTCCTTATCGTACGTTTCCGTAGGTATTCGATCAGCCACCTCTACAGAACAATTACTTACTCTGCAGCATTTGATAGTGTCAAAAAACAAACCTATGTAACTCTGATAAAGGTTAAAGCAATAGGACACTATAGGCTTGACCTAGCCAGACACCTTCGTTGCAGATATTTCCCGCCATGACGTTGATTTGCCCCACCTTTCGGGGCCGGACGTGGCGGACATCGTGAGGCAACTCGGTGGACTTAATTTCAGCCTTAACAGTAAACCCATAACCAATGGAGAACCCAAGTGCAAACCAGGACTTGAGTACGAGAGCAAAAGCGGATACTGTGTCGGTCTGTAAACTCTACAACGTACCTAATAGGCACTGTCTAAAGGCAAACGTAGGCCTTCAGTTTCTTGGCTAGAGCTCTTGCATTGACCCTGATGTGCCATGAGTGCAGTAAATAATTACGCCACTATATTCGTGTGCTGCGGAATGGTGAACCCCTACTATCTAATATTTGAAGCTGATTTTACTTACTCCATCATGAGTGAGCATGGCCATATGTCTATATAATCTTAAATAACTCTAATGTCAATAGATAACTACAGCTATAAACCTATTAAACAAAGAATAGTGCTTAGGTGGCAGAGAATTTTGGGCGAAAAGCACTTAGTTTTCGATGATCTCCCTTGATAGGTTGGTGAAAAAAAATGGTGCCGTGATGCATGGCCCTTGAGGTTACGTCTAAAAAGAGATTTGTGCACTAGGCAGCAAAGCGCCCAAAACGATTTAAATTTGGCATTCAGAGCAGTAAGTTACTTTTTTCCATATTTATCCGATGCAGATGTCAACGAGTGTGAGCGTGGCACTCACAACTGTAGCCATGTGGCGCTATGCGTAAACCATGCAGGATCTTTCGAGTGTGTCAAGTTGGCACGAAAATCTGTTTCATGTCTTCCTGGATATCGTTTTAATTGGCATCTTGGTGAATGCCTTGGTAAGGCAGAAACGTACCATAAATTCCACTACTGCAATATGTGTACATATATATATATATATATATATATATATATGATTTATTGGATGTGTAATTTAATTAATTTCAGAAATTGACGAGTGTGTGAAAAAGCCGTGTGCTCGCAGTCAAACTTGTGTTAACGAGCAGAATGGGTTTAGATGCCTCAACTCATCCGAACGGAGTTGCCCCCAGGGATACAGCTACCAGAACCGGAAAGGCTGTGTTGGTTAGTAATGTCTACGGCAACAACAATGCCGGCATTGATCTTTCTATTGAATTTACCAATTCTCATTATCGCCATCTTGCTTGTTCCGTGTAATTCTAACTGCGCCTGCTAGATTTCGCAGCCGATAGAGAGAAACACAATAATTCAAGAATCTTTAAACGCTGCAGTTTCTTAATTTTAATTGTGTACAAAAAATACGCAAAAAATATATGAAAGATACACTCAGAAACGAACCTCAGTTTAGCTTAATTTAATAAAAACAGGAAATATTCTACGGTTGATTATATTGAAACGGGGCAACATATGCTTGATCTAGTATTCAAACGCTGTTGACTTTACTGGAAATCTCTGTAGAAAATATGATTAGAATCAAATAAGCTATCGGTTTATCTCTCTTTTGGTTTGGCCTAACGTAATCACCTTCACCACGCATCTACTTACGGGCAAACGTGAACGTAGCGGCAAATGAGTTTACGTTCCATTCGTTGCCTTAGCGAGTCGGTCATACGCGTATCGTATTATCTTTCTTTGATCATTTTTTCCAATAATTTATTTTTTATTTATATTTGGAAAAATTTCGAAATATTATTTAATAATAACAGTAAGAATAGTAATAACAGTATGATTTGGTGCTTCGTTGTGGTTTACGAAAGACATCAATGAGTGTCAGGGTCTGGGCGCCCATTTGTGTGACGGACGGAAAGAACTTTGCAAAAATCTTCATGGCTCGTACATGTGTGTACCCCCATGCCAGAAAGGCTTCAGAATGATACCCAATATTTGGGACTGCGCAGGTGAGTCTTTCCAATCGATTAGCTCGCTCGGGCTTAAACCCTATGGCGATATTCAGATATTGGTTATGTCTTTTCAATAAGATTGTATTTATCTGAAGAGCCGAATCGACAGTACCTCTTTCACTGATTTTTACTGTTTCAGATTATTAGACTAGATTACGGTTGTGATTGTGTCTCTATGTAAGACTTAGAGTACCGCGCGACTATTAGCTTTACAGTTTCGTTAAACTCTGCTAGGCGTGCAGCCCGTCCCCAAATTTGTCTCTCCGGATTTACGGCATCATTCGTCTTCTAGGACAAAGATATTTTTCTTGTGCGAAATATTCCAGCAGAAATGTTTTGCTCTCATGTCCAAATTCGAGTACGCGATACATATGCTTCGTTAGTATTAGAGTCAGGAGTTGATTCGCTGTCTTTGTGCAGTATCCCATCTGTAATTTTTGCATTAATACGTTGTTACTTGCTTTGACTTTTATAGATATTGATGAATGCATGGAAGAAACGGATTCGTGTGCTCATAACGAGGAGTGTATTAACACCTTGGGAGGATACAACTGTGAAATGCCTTTAAACACTGGATCACCTTCCCCCTCCTTAACACTAGAAGTGAAGTAGCGGCAGAGATATTAGCCTGCTTTGCCTCGTCCTCATTAGAAGCCTGGATCATTCAACTTATCAGACAATTAGTAACATAAAACCCAAAATGCTGTGATCCTAAACAATCTTAGATTTGATTGTTTCATTTCGTCACAGTCGTTTTCCATTAACCCAATTATTTCTTTGAAAAATTTATATATATA